GCGATACTTGTGCAGTACATCGGGCATGGGGCTCGTGCTTGGAGGACGGGCTCGAGTTGTCGTCACTGGTCACGCTGACGCCTCCTGGGTTGACGACTTGGCTACGCAGCGGTCGTCACAGGGTTACACCTTCAGTCTTGGCTCCGGCTCTGTCTCCTGGCGGTCTACCCGCTCTTCTTCTGTTCTCAGCTCCAGTTGTGAGGCTGAGATCTACGCTGGGGCCATGGCTGCACAGGAGCTTCGCTGGCTCACCTACCTGCTGACCGACTTGGGAGAGGCGCCTCATTCTTGTGACCTCTTGTTCTCCCCCACTTTGTCTATGGGGGTGTGTCAAACTTATATCTGCTATGGTCTATTTAGGCTGTAGTGGGGTAGCTCTTAGAGGGTACAACACTTATGTGTTTCCTATTTGTACCCATCTCATTTCTAGTTCATTCATTCTTTCGTCTATCTTTCTCACACCACCACCCCTGCTGCCACCGCCACCACTCTTGCCACCCTTGCCCTTGCCGCTGCGGCGCTTCCCACTAAGTGGAGAAGTAGCCTCGACGTCCTCAGGACCAAGGATGTCAATAGCAGCAGCAGAAGCGTAGGAGGGGGAAAGGGGGGAGGGGGAACACCCCTCAAAGAAGGGTGTGCGAGGAGTGCCACGAGCAGCACCTACAGCAACTATGCTAGTCTCAGCTGCAAGAAGGTGCCTCTCGAGCAGGTCAACAGTGAGGTCTGTGGGGCCAAGTGCGAGAAAGTGGTCCCTTACTGCGCGAAGAGAGTCAGGGAGGCGGGTGACTATGAAGTAGAGAGTGATGTACATCGGGGGCGGGTTCTTGTCTAGGAACTCGGCTGGGAGAGCAGCGCGGTAGCGATTGTCGCTACTGCGAAGGTGGGTAATGAGGTCCTCTACTTTGGCAAAGGCTGACAGCTCGGGAAAAAGGTATGGCAGTATAAGGTGGCCGAGAGCAGCAGTGGTAGGGGAAGAGTAACGAGCGACTACAGCGTCGTGCTGGGCTTTGGCAGTCTTGTGTTGGCCAAAGTGAGCGCGTTCGGCTAACGGCAGGTGGTTGCGAACGGCTAAGCGAGCAGCAGCGTCACGGGTAAGCCACTGTGAGCGAGTCGCACTGTCAGCTGTGGCGGAGGGGCGAGAGAGGCTCCAGACGTGTGATCGAACAACGAAACGATGTCTCTAGAATCGCTCAGTAGGTACAGCTGTAAGTCGTCGAGCCACGTATCGAACTGGATCAGACGGCCCTCATGATCGAAGGTGAGAGCAGTGAGAGAATCCATAGCGGGCAGAGCAGGGTGGCGCGCGACCAGTAGGGCAGCACGCATGCAGGGGGGCGCGCGAGCACTAGGGAAGTGCGCAGGGCAGGGCGGGGCGGCGCACTGCTAGGGAAGAGCGGCACACGGCCAGGGCAGGGCAGCGCAAATGGCAGGGCAGGGCGGCGGCCAGCAGGGTGGCGCGCGGGCAGGGCAGGGCGGTGCGGCGGCCAGCAGGGCGGCGCGCGGGCAGGGCAGGGCGGCGCGGCGGCCAGCAGGGCGGCGCGCGGGCAGGGCAGGGCGACGCGCAGGCAGGGCAGGGCGGCGTGGCTGCCAGCAATGTTGTGCGTGGGGAGAGCAGGGCGACGCGCAGGAAGAGCAGGGCGGCACAGCGGCAAGCAGGGCGGCGCGCGGGCAGGACAGGGCGACGCTGCGGCCAGCGGGGCGACGCGATAGGTAGGGGAGGGCGGCACTCTACCAGCAGGGCGGCGTGACGGGCAGGGCAGGGCAGCACGCGGCCAGCAGGTTGGCGCGTCGGGCAGGGCAGGGCAGCGCGATTAGTGGGGCAGCGCTATGAGCAGGGAACTATGCGATGGGCCCTGAAGGAAAAAACGGTCTTGGAACAGGACCTGCTCTGAAACCATGTCAAGAAACTGAACGAGAATGAATGCATTGAGCAAAAATTTGGTACAAATACTAACCCTAATTGGGTTGTACCCCTTATAGGCTACCCCACTACAGCCTACACAATATAAGCATTATATCATTTTGACACCTTCCGCCTGGTGACCACCATAGATTTTGTCTGTAGCTAGGCCTTGTTGAGGCGGACCCTCAGTTGTTGTAGTCTTGCCTCTTGTTTCTTGCTCTGCATGTCTTGCTATTGTTCAATGCCGTGAACTCTTGAACTGGCCTTGTGGCCCCTTGTTTGCTCTCAGACTCTGTGGTGATGATGGACCACGAAATTTGTTTTGTTACTTCTCTTGACTGTGACCATTTGTTTCCCGTGCTTGTTTTGATGCCCCTCGCTTAGCCTATGTGGGTGTGTCAAATGTTACATTGTTGTTTAGGCTCCAATGAGTAGTACTATAGGAGGTACAACACCTTTAGGGCTGCAATCTGTATCGCTTGCTTGCCTAGTTCATCCATTTCCGCTTGCACGTTCTGATACACCCATGCGTGCAAGCTTACACTCCTCCCTTTCCCATCCCCCCACCCCCCCCCACCCCTTGATATTTTAACACCATTTCAAATATAGGTATTTATCAGTACAACCTAGGGTGTACTATGCGGGGAAGGAGGGGGGGTGAGAGGTGGGTGGGGGGGAGAAGGGAGGGGGGGGGAGAGCGGGGGGGGGGGGGGGGGGGGGGTATATTCGGGGGATTACGGTACCACCGTATATTCAGAACCAATAGCGGATAGAAGGAAGAAGTATGAAGACACTCCCGTATGAAATACATGTTCAGGTGTCTTACCCAAAACCGTCAGGGCTGACGTGACGTTCACTTCACCCTTGCTTTTTGCTTTCATGATTTTGAAAGTCTCCCAGGTCTTATACCGGTATTCTGGAGAATGCAGTATGCTGTACAGTTAAGATCTCGTGAAAGCCATGCGACAAGCTTCCTGTTGTGTTTTGGTTGGAGTGGGACTTTCTACTACCAACCAAACCGACCGTAGTGTATGATGTGGAAGGCGGGGCTCTCTGGGTAGAGGCCCCGTACATGGTCGATACGCTGTTGTGATTGAAGGGGGGGGGGGGGGGGGGGGGGGGGTGGGGTGTGGGATGGGATGTCTTGATGGGGTGTCTTGACTCGGCGTTTTGATTGGGTATCTTGAGGGGGGGGTCTATGTGTGTTGCATTTGGGTTCTTTTACTCATGTGCTTCTTCGTGAGTGGGGCAACACATAGGGAAAAATGGATGTCTGTGGTTGGGGTGGGGATGGGGAAAGAGAGATGCGGATTGCGATCGAGGGAAGTTTTTGGGTTATGTGATGACAACCTCTCCCCCCCTCACAGACGAATCCCGTGATCTCCTCACCGTCCCCCTCTTCCCGGATATCAGCCCCCCTCCATATGGTTGGCTTTGAGTTTGTTTGTCCAATTTTCCTAGAGGTGCCGCGTCCTAAGTGTATGATCTCTCTAGATTGTTCCGAACATTCGCAATAGTTTAACACCAGAAAAGCGCATGTCAAACCAAACCGACTGTAGTGCTATGCTTGCCAGAGAGGACTTGAGCATTGTATGGTATGGTATAGTATGTGCTACAGTATGGTATAATACGGTAGATTCCCAGCATTGAGAAGAGAGACGAGGCGCTGCAGCTGTGATTTGGAGATTGTTCGCGCCTCGACTTGACACTAGGCAACCATCGTGTAATCCACGTGGCAAAGCTATTGCGGTCATGGGACTCGCCTGGAGTGGAGCGAGACAGGGCTGGTCGTCACCGACATTACCAAAGCACACACCCCATTGCTTGCGTCACCGAGTCGCTTGAGGGGTCACCCAACGAAGGAACACAGAATTTAGCGGGTTTGTCCACCTCATCCAACCGTTCATCTGCACTCGGTGGCTTTCATCCGTTCGATCTTCCCTCTCATCGTCACTGCTCCTCGGTTCCATCCACTCCTAACCTCGACACCCATCCATGGCACTACTCTTCTCGCTTGCTCCTCTCACTCACAAATGTCAGCGCCCGAATCTCATTGCTCACCTCCACAGCTGCTAGCTCCTTGCGAATTCCTCCGCTCTATCCCTAGCCTCAACTGCTCCCTCGAACGAGCCGCATTTTCTTACGTCATAGCGACTATGCGGCACGCCGTGGTGCTTTTGCCAGGAAAGGACAACAGCCGAACCTTTCGTCGCAGGCTGTCTGCCTGTTCGCTTATCCAATCTCAATCGTCACCTCCTGGTGTCAATCATTCTCATTCTACTGTTCTCATTCCTCCTCGCCTCTCATCGTCTGTGACCACCTGTCTTCGCGCACAAGGCGCCATTCCCTGCGTGAAAAGGGAAAACTCGTTTGTCGTACCATTGTGTGGCCATCTCTGTGTCTGCCGCGTTAGCTGCGTTCAGGCCTGCACCTATAGTGTGTCGATGACGTTGCGTGGACGGTCGTCGCCCAGTATTTCTTCGATCGTAACGAATCCTTGCAGTTAGAATCTCTTGAATCACGCTCACCAGTGCTGTCCTCGCACGGCGAGACGGGCCGTCCACGGCGCTCTCCACTGAGCAAGCCGGTGATTGCCACGGCCACGAGACGGCACTCGCTTCTAGCAGTCTGAGAGGTGGAAATTGAACAAGGGGTAACGATAGAAACTTGCCTTTGGTTTCGCGCGAACTCGACGAGTGTTTCGAGTTCGCGAGATCGCCAAGCCGGATTTACTACCGATGCTCCATCAGTTGAGCTGAGCGCGGGTAAGTTGTACCAGCAGCATGCGCAATTGAATCCCGTCACGCGCTACACGATCGTCTCCACACGTGCCGCTAAGATTCACACCATCATTTTAGCCAAGCAGGCCGCAGGGATCTGAGTGATCGAATTTGGTTCTATTCTCACCGGCTCGGGCACGGCTAGCCCGCGGGCGGGGACGAGGTCTCTGAGAGAAGCGCTGAGGCGAACAGTCGCGACAGGAAAAGCTGGAAAAGAAGGGGCGGCGCGGGGAGGTGCGAGGAGGCGACGGCCGCGGCGGAGGCAAGGGCGGACCGCGGAGAGTCGTACACTGCGTTGACACGTGTCCAGCTCCATAATGCTTGCTGAGGACGACTCGAGGTGTCGGTCGGGAGAGACACGAGTGGTTGTGGGGCAGAGCCGTGGCAGTGTATTGAGGGCGCTTCCCCATCGCCCAGCCGCGCCCCACAGCAGATGGGCGTGGCGGTGTGTGACGCCGGCGGAGAGCCGGAAACCGCACGGCTGCGAGGGGAGCGCCAGTTGGAGTGAGCGGCGCGGACTGCAGCACGCGCTACGCCCCTCACGCGCCACCTGGGGCACCCCGTCCCCGCTCCTGCTACTACCAGCGCTTCTGGCGCTGCTGACTCTGACCCCCGCGCTCGCTGCCCCGCTTGGCGGCGTGCGGACGGGCAGGCTTGTGCGAGCGGAGTCCCAGTGGGAGGGGTGGCGGCACGCTAAAGGAGGGGCGGTGGGGCATGGTGCGGGGGTGCGCAAGCGCCTGTACGTTCTTCCCGCCGAGTCCAACGCGCCCCGACCGCACGCCACGGCAACAGCGGCTCCCCCGGCCCTTGCTGCCGCATCCCCTGCAGCCCCCGCGACCAACAACAGCGGCGCATCTTCCGCTCCCACCAGGCCTGATAGTGGCGGCACGGGTGTGGGCTCAGGAGCAGCAGGAGCGGCAGAGGCGGCTGCGATCCCGGATGACAGGGCGAGCTTGCTGCCATGTCCCATGGTCACCAGCGCCACGCAGGGGGGAAGCGAGGGGAGTGGAGGGCTTGGCGGCGTGCTGAGTCTGCTGAGGGTGGTGCAGGCAGGCGATGGCGGCGGGGACGAGGGGGAGGAGGCGGCAGGGCAGCGCGGCAGCCTATCGCGCGTGGATCCAATGGATGGGTTCAGGCGCTACCGAGGCCCGTACAACGTCACCGACGTGCACTACTGGGCGGTCAGTGCCACGTGTGTCGTGGGGCCTTGCATGCTCATTGACTTGCAGTAGCACGTGCATGGCATAGAAGCAGGTCCCATCTGTCACATATGCCCCAGCTTCGCATCCATTCCTTTTTTCCTTGCCCTCGAATGGTCCTTTATTGATATCAGCGGTGTTATACAAGGGGAGGGCAATGCGGTAGGTACAGCGATCATGGGCACTTGCAACACGAACTACTGCACATGTCTACAGCACGTGCGCCCCTCCCTCGATGCTGTGGAGGAGCTCCCCGATGCCTACAGGCATTGGGGGTTCACTGCAGTGGGCGGCGCCACGAAGGCGGCGCGGGACTTGGGGATCAGCGCATTCGCCTGAGCCCGCTGCAGCATACATGAGCAGCGGTGACGGAAGCTGTGGAAGCTGTCCCATCTTGCACATATGTCCCTCTTCTCCTTGCCCTCTCTCTTCCCGCCTCCCCCTCCTTGCCTTTCCTTCAGTCTGCAGCGTTTACTGGGTGGTGGGCGGCAGCAGTTGGCGTTATCCTGTGCCTCGCCGGGATTGTGCTGGTCGGCCTTATGCTCTGCTTCCGCCGACCACTAAGTTGCTGCCACGAGGCAACTTCAAGGAAGGGTGCAAGGGCACGTGTAGCAGCAGCAGCAGCAGCAGCAGCAGAGGGCGCTACGGAGGCAGAGAGGGTGTCAGGAAGAGGAACGGAAAGGGGGCAATTGACCAGAGGGCGGGCAGGCAGAGGCGAGCAGTTAGCGGTGCCATGTGGTGCAGCTGCAGGGGCAGGTATCGCCGAGGCCACGGGTGGGAGGCTGGAGGCATGCGTGCAGGGCCACAAACCCATGGCAGGCAGCCCGGGTGCTCACTGGCCCCATGTTGACATGTGCACATCCCCCACTGCAGCATCACCTGTGGCAGCACGGGTGAGCGCACCAGACATGGGCGACAGTATCACCAGATCCGCCTCCTCCTCCCTCTCCTCCTTCTCCTCCTTCTCCTCCCCTCGTACCTCCTCCGCTTCCTCAGCCACCCGCCCCTCCGTCTCCTCCTCCCTCTCCTCCTCATCTGCTTCTTCCTCCGCGCCTTTCCTGTCTCTATCCACCGCTGCTTCTGCTCCAATCGGCCTTCGCCATGTGGCGTCTGAGCTGTCAGTCCCTTGGGAGGGGGAGGAGTGTGAGGCATGGGGGCAGGAGGAGAAGAAGCCTTGTCAACGGGGGGCGGAGGAGGGGATTAGCAATATGAGCGGCAGCAACAGTGTGGCAACGGCACCAAGGGGAACAGGGGCAAGTCGGGAAGCAGGAGGGGTGGGCGCAGAGGGAAGGGAGAAGACGCGGTGGGGGCGAGCGGTGCGATTGGGGTGGCAGGTGGTGCGGTGGGTGTTGCTTGCTGCGAGCCTGCTGTTGGCCATGTGAGTGGGGGTGCACTCGTGCATGGGGGTGCACTCGTGCATGGGGGTACCCCGACCTTGCGCCTGCTGCTCTCGTCTCTACCCTCACCCACCTGTTCCGTCTCTGCTGCTCCACTCGTCACATCCTTTCGGCATGCTTCCTTGAAGCCAGTCGCAGCCTCTCATGGTCTGCACTCCCTATGGAATCGCACCTCCGCCCACCACCAACTCTTTGCACGTACATCCCATCTCACCCCTCCCTTATGCCCTCCCCTCACCTCGCCCCTCTCCCATCCCCTCTCCCATCCCCTCTCCCCTCACCCCCACCTCCCTGCCATGGCACACAGGGCGGCGGTGGGTGTGGCGCTGTACGCGAGTGCATCGTTCCGCCCCATAGCCGTGCACACCAGGGACACTGTCATCAGCAGCATTGCTGCTGCCATCAATAAGGTACCGCCTGCTCATACCGCCCTCTGTGCTCGCTTGCACCTTGTGCCCGCGCCTTTCTCTCCCCCCTCATACCTGTTATGTGCGGCAGCACAAGGGGCAGCTGTACCCCATGTGGCGTGCATGACTGCATGTGCGCAAGCCATAACCGCACACCATCACTGCTGCTCGCCCCCACGTGTGCCCTGCTCTGCCCCACTCCTCGCCCTCCAGCCCCGCCCTCGCGTTGCCCTCGTCACCCATCCCAACCCATCCCCACCCCCCATCCCACCACCATGAGCAGCTGGACCACATGTCGGGCACGCTGACAGCAGCGTACGCGGTGTTCAACCGCACTCTCTCCGACCCCTCACTGCTGCTGCCTGCTCAGCCGCCACCACCGCAGGTGCAGGCGCAGCAGAAGCAGCAGATGGGCTCTGCATGGGCAGCACCCGAGAGTGGCGGCGGCGCTTCAGGGAGCAGCGTGCAGGCAGGCAACGCTGGTGGTGCAGGCAGCAGCAGCAGTGGTCCGTGTGGTAGCAGCAGCGGCGGCAATGGCACAGCAGGGGGGTCGCAGCAAGGCTGGGGGAACGCAGTGGGGCGAGTGGGTGGTGAGGGCAGCGGCAACGACAGCAGCATGGACGCGGCGTCAATACTGGTGTTTGCTCGGCGTGCTCTGGTGTCCGTGCACACACTGCAGCGGCAGGCACACGAGCTGGAGGGCACGGTGGAGCGCGTGGCACAAAGGGCCTTCTCCATCACCACCACCACGTCCGTGCCGCCCGCCCCGCCCCTCCCTCCCTCCCTCCTTCCCCCCTCTGCACTTTGCCTGCCTGTCTGCCTGCCTGCTTGTCTGCCTGCCTGCCTGCCTTCCCCCCTCCTCCCTTTCGTGCCCTTTGGCCTGAACCCTTTGACATCGCAAAGGCTGCTCTGCAGACTGCCTCTCTGTGTGCCCCTATCTCTACCACCCATTCATTTGTCCAATCAACTCCCCAATCCGCCCCTCCCCATGCACCCCACCCCATACGCTACGCCCCTCCCCATGCGGCCTGTGCAGTCTCATATCGCTCATGGCTGCTTCCTGCCTGCTGCTGCTGCTCACCGCTATCTCCGCTCTTGGTGGGTGTAGATGGTGGTGAGCGAGTGAGAGCAGAGGTGTGGGGAAGTGAGTGTGAGGGTGTTGGGGACGTAGGAGGGCCTGGGGGGACTGAAGGTGCGGAGGGCAGTGTGGCGGCCATGTGCTCGCCGCACTCCTCACGGCGCACACACCGCACCTCATACCACAATGCCTCAAAGCCGCAACCCCCCACCCACCGCACGCCACCATTTGTGTGCATGCCATTCCCCATCCCTCCACACCACATGCCATTACCCATCCCTCCACACCACATGCCATTACCCATCCCTCCACACCACATGCCATTCCCCATCCCTCCACACCACATGCCATTACCCATCCCTCCACACCACATGCCATTCCCCATCCCTCCACACCACATGCCTGCCTCAATCCTTTCAGCGCCCCCCCACTCCTCGTGCCACGCCCTGCGTATCCTTCCCTCTACTCATGCCCTTCCCTCCCTCCCCACCACTCCCTCCCTCCCTGCCTCCCTGCCTGCGTGTGTGAGCGAACTGCAGTGTCGTGCAGTGGCAGGCGGCAGTACCTGGCTGTGCACCTCCTGTGAGTGCTTCTCATCACCCATCATCCTTGCTCTTTGCGCTTTGCTCCCGCGCCTTTTCTTTTGGTCAATTATGCACGTCAGAGCATGCAACGCACACTCCTCCCCGCCTCCGCACTCCCCACACTATTCGCCCCTCCTCATTGCACCAGTCTCCCTCCCGTCTCCGCCCATCCTGCCCATGCGTCCCACCTCAGGAGCATGGCGGTGCTGCTCGCGCTGCTGCTCGTCGCGTGGCTCCTCGCGGCCGTCTTCTCCTCTGCGCGTGTGTAAGTCCGCCACCCACCCTGCATCCCTCCTGCTTATGCGCGCGCGCCTGTGTCTCGCCATGCGACTTGACTGCTTTGCAAGTCGTGCGCCCCGCGCACAAGCATTCCCACTTCCCCATCCCAAGTCCGCCCCATCTCAATACTAACTCCGTTACCCAATATTCTCCGCTCTTCCCTGTCCTCCCCTTCCGCCTTCCCCCTGCGCGCGCAGCATGCTGCGCGACTCCTGCGCCGAGATGGCTCTCTACGCCGCCACCCCCGCCGCCTCCACCCTCACGCCGCTGCTGCCCTGCATCAACCCGCGCGCGGCGCGCATCGCGCGGGTGAACGCGGCGCGCGGCGCGAACCAGCTGGTGGGGTTCGCGAACGCGCAGATCGAGAGCGGCAACGCGGCGCTGGGCGGGCTCTCCCGCATGCTGCGCTCCGCCGGGCTCCTGGAGACCAGCGCTCCGGGGGGAGGCGATGCCAGTGGCGCGGATGGTGGCGGCACGGCTGTGGCGAGCAGCGCGGTGGAAGGGGCAGGGGGGGCTGCGCGCGCAGGGGGGCTGAGAGGGCGAGGGTCGAGCATGGGCATGGTTAGCAGCAGCAGCGTCACAGAGGCGGGTTCCGGAGGAGGGAATAGTGAAGCTGCTGTGCCTGACGCAGTGGCACACACAGAGCAGAGCAGCACCGCCTTGAACCCTGGCGGCAGCAGCAACAACAGCAGCAGTGGTGGGGATCGTGTGATTCCGCTGCTGTGCCCGGTGTTCAACGAGAGCAGCAACCTCGCTCCCGCTGTGTGCCCTGCCGGATACGGTTCCGTGCGCTCCTTTGAACAGGTGAGACCATGTTTGATCCTCAAGTGTGTGGTGCTGAGAATGGGGGTCGTTGTGACATTCCTATCCTCACGTCCGCATGCTCATCACACAACGCAGCACTGCACTATCTTCGTGCTCACACATTTGCAGCACACAGTACTGCTCGTGTGGGATGCGGGGATAGGAATGGACCACCTGTACTGCTATACAACGTATCAAATCATCACCTGTTGCCTCCTCTCCGCCTCGCTGCGTTCCCTAAACACCATCTCTGCCCATGCCCTGTGCCCCTGCCCCATAGGACTACGCCGCATACCACTGTGAGTCAGAGAACCCTGTTGTCTGTGTGCGGCGAGGCACGCCCATCCCCAACTCCTCCTACCACCTGCTTGCCGACGCTGCTGCTGCCACGGCAAGTGTGGCGGACCTGGTGCCCGACATGTACGACCTGGCCACGTGTCAATTCCTCGTTGACCTATTCCAGGACCTCTCCTCCAGCCCGCAAGGCTGCTATGGAGCCAAGAGCAAGGTGCAATTGGAGTGGGTGGCGTTTATTCTGTTCGGGGTCGCTCTCGCCATGCTGGTGCTGGCGTGTATCATAGCTTTGTACAGTTATCATACGAGGGAAGGGGACGGGATGGATGGGACGGGTCCATGATGTGTTTGTACCATAGGTTTCTCCTTAATAAACGTGCTCATAGGCAAGATATAACTTCATTCATTGATTAAATTTGTATGAAGATTCAAGTTTCCGTTTTCTGCAACATCAGTCTTGGATACAGAAGATACTAACACTCCATAAAGTGTAGCGTTTCACCTCAATTTGGTTACCGACGCAGTTATTGCCGCGGGTCAGATTTCTCTCCAATTCCCAATGCTCGCGCGATCCCTCGGAGTCTACGTGCGAACCGCATGCGAAATATCTGATCGAGGTGTCACCGCTCCCTCATCTCATCTGAAACCAACGCTCGAGGGGCAAGGCAACATTGCGACGCGACTGATCGCACTCTCCCCCAAGCCGAACTCAATCCTGAAAGCCCACCACCATCTGCCCACCCCTGCGGCGGCGGTCCAGCTTTGAGCATCAGTGAATAAATTCACTTCTCCTCAGTCAGTGGACTTTATCAAGAAATACTGGAACTCAATATCCTTCAAGATTCGAAAGCGAAACTTCTACAAGTTGTGTGATAATGGCAGGAGGCGGCATGGTTCCGGTGGCGCCGGGCTCGCACCAGTTCAACGGGAGAGTGACGGCGTACGTCATCCTCTCCAGCCTCGTGGCGGCGAGCGGCGGGCTGCTGTTCGGCTATGACATCGGCATCACAGGTACGCCAACAGTCCGCGCTAACCTCCAACGCAGGTGCAACCATGCTTGCCATTCTAACGAACGATCCCACACGTGCTGTGGTCAGGCGGGGTGACCAACATGGATGGATTTCTAGAGGCCTTTTTCCCCGCGGTGCTGAGCAAGAAGCTGTCGGCGCACGAGAACTCGTGGTGCAAGTTCGACTCGCAACTGCTGCAGCTCTTCACGTCCTCGCTCTTCATCGCCGGCATCTTCGGCGGGCTCATCGCGTCCGTTACCACGTCGCGCTTCGGCAGAGTGCGCACGATGCTGGTGGGCGGCATCTTCTTTCTTCTCGGCGCCGCGCTCACGGGAGCAGCCGTCAACATCGAGATGCTCGTGCTCGGTCGAGTGCTGCTCGGGCTCGGCGTCGGCTCCGCCAACCAGGTACCACGTGATTGCATTCCCCATGAGTCCGCAATCGCCTCATCACATGCTAACCCGTCCGCCGTCTCTGTGTGCAGGCCGTGCCTCTGTATCTCTCGGAAATGGCGCCGGCGCAGCTGCGCGGCGCGCTGAACATGATGTTTCAGATGGCGACGACGCTGGGCATCGTGGGCGGGCAGCTCATCAACTACGGCACGGCGCACCTGCACCCCTGGGGCTGGCGCCTCTCGCTCGCGCTCGCCGCCGTGCCTGCCGCCGTGCTGACGGCGGGAGGCTTGTTCCTCCCGGACACGCCCAACAGCCTCGTGGAGCGTGGCCATGCAACCCGCGGCCGCCAGGTGCTGCAGCGGATTCGCGGCGTCGAAGTGGACGTGCAGGTGGGCGCCGTGTCGCGGACCTCTTCGAAGAGCTAGCTCAAATCTGTTGGCGGCACAGAGTATCTAACGATGTGTTTCGCATGCGCGCAGGAGGAGTTCGACGAGATTCAGCGCGCGTGCAACGCCTCGAAGACGGTCAAGGCCCCCTTCTTCGCCATCTTCCGCCGAAAGTACCGGCCCGAGCTCACTTGGGCGATCTTGTAAGTTGCTGTGCTCATCCATCCACCGATTCAAAGTTGGACGACAAAGACTGACCTTTCTGGCGCGATGGCGCGACGGCAGGATCCCGGTGTTCCAGCAGCTGACGGGCATCAACGCCATCATGTTCTACGTCACGCCGCTCTTCCAGTCGCTCGGCTTCGGCGACAGCGCGTCGCTGCTGACCACCGTCATCACGGGCGCCGTCAACGTCGTGGCCACGCTCGTCTCCATCCTCACCGTCGACCGCTTCGGCCGCAAGTCGCTCTTCCTCGTCGGCGGCGTGCAGATGGTCCTCGCGCAGGTGCTGCTACTACCCCGCACGCAACACGCTCGGTCCAAAGTGCCACAGTCGAGCAAAGCTTACTAACAGTTGCGTTTTTCTTGACTCCCCGTGCGTGTCCGTCGTGCAGGTGGCGATCGGCGTGTTGCTGGGCACGACGTACGCGAGCGGGACGGGCAGTCTGTCGAGCGGGTACGCGACGGCCGTGGTGGTGGTGATCTGCGTGTACGTGGCGGGGTTCGCGTGGTCGTGGGGGCCGCTAGGGTGGCTGGTGCCGTCGGAGATCCAGCCGCTGGAGACGCGGTCAGCGGGGCAGAGCATCACGGTGGCCGTCAACTTCATCTTCACCTTCGCCGTGGGCCAGGCCTTCCTCTCCATGCTCTGCCACTTCAAGTGAGCTGCGCTCCACCACGCACCACACTAGTTGCAAGGGGTGCAAGGAATTTGAGAATATGAAGGGTTTGCGCTGACGGGTTGTGATTGACACTGTGTGCGCAGGTTTGGGATTTTCCTCTTCTTCGCGGCGTGGGTGGTGGTGATGACTGTCTGCGTGATGCTGTTCCTGCCCGAGACCAAGGGCGTGCCCATCGAGGAGATGGCGGGCGTGTGGCAGCGCCACTGGTTCTGGAAGCGGGTGGTCCCTGATGCCGCACAACAAGGAGCAGCTGTCAAGGCAGAAAAAGGAGACAAGAATCAGGCTGTCAGTGCAAGCAGCAATGGTGCCATGGAGGAGAAGGCAGTTGTCTCAGGTGTCTGATGGGTGGGCCACCCACCCGCCTGCCATGCCAGCATGAGATGCCATGTAAGGTACCATACTGAAATTTCTCATAATGTAGTAGATAATGTTTGGGATTCACTTTGGCTGGGACGATTCTTTCAATGTAATCCGCATCCATCATCATACATCACTTGTTCTGCCATACGATAGCAGCTGAAACCAAGGTTGTGGAGAGTACAGCCTCTTGTGTTGGGACTCATATTCATGGCATGCCCTATCTGGTGGGGAGATGAATGGTGGAAGATGAATGGTGATGCCTGTGCTGGATGGCAGCTGTGCTGTATGGTGTGAATGCTGGACACAAGTCTAAGGCCAAGGCTAGACAAGCACGTGCCAGGGATGAGCTGCATGAGAATGATCAAGCCGGACGTATGGGTGGGATGGAGGGGAGGTTCAGGAGTAGAGCGAAGGATGCAAGGGTAGTGCCTGGAGACAGCAGGCACACTAATTGTGGGGTTGGCACTACCAAGTAAATGCACACAGTTGGGCCAACAAGAAAGACAATGGCTCAGAAAAGAGATGTGCTCTTGCCCTTCTTGTCTCCGCCAATCTCGAAATGCTTGCAACGCTGCATGCATACAGGCAAACAAGGCCGAGGCGGGGAAAAAAGGGGGACAGAAAGAGAAGGGGAGTGGGTAGAGCGGTAAAGAGAGAACGAAAGGTGGACAGGGGTGGGGGTGGTTGGGGTAGGTGAGAGTGAAAGTTAGGAAGACTACAGGTAACTGATTGCCTTCGCCTCGCAGACTGTAAGGAAATATAGTGAAAATAGATAACCCATTGTGATCCCGACACACCAATCTTGCGCCATGCTAGCGCTGGCTCCAATACCCCTGCACCATGCTCCTCCGCCGCCACCCTACCCGCCACGCCATACGTCCCCTCAACCCCCCACACCCGCTCTTCCCGCCAGCTCCCAGTGCACGTGCGCGCGCGCGGTCACCTTGATGGGCGTTTGGTGCATGTGCTTGCACGACTGGCACTGCAGCCTCAACACGATCTTCTTCGTCGTCTTCGCCTGCCCGTTCCAATTGCGAGGCACGAACGGGGACGTGAAGAGCAGGCACAGGGGTAAGGAAAGGTTGAAGGGACGGAGCAGGGAGGAGGGAAGCGTGAGATCGAGAGGATGGTTACGGAACGGGGCGAGGGAGTGCCGTGCAAGAGCACATAAAAATAGCACGACCTGTGAAAGCGTACTCCACAAATCAGGGAACCATGCACATTCACGCACGCATCCACCACCCGCTCCTCTTCCGTCTCCCTCTCCCTCCCCGCTTCCCCTCTCCCTCCCTCTCCATTTCTCAACTCCCTTACTCTACATTTCCCCTCACCCTCCCGACCCTCCTCTCCCTACCTCTCCGATTCCCTTCCTCTAAGTTTCCCCTCCCTCTCTCAAACCCTCTCCTTTCCCCTCTCCACTTCTCTCCTTTCCTCCCCCTCCCTCTCTTTCCCCTCCCTCTCCCTCAGCTTTCCCTCCCTCTCTCCCTCCCATCAACGAATCCGCGCACCCCCCCGGGCCCCGGCGCCAGCGCCACACACCTTCTTGTGGAAGACGGGCTTCGTCTGCCCTCCATAGCCCGACTGCTTGCGGTCGTACCGCCGCTTTCCTGCACCGCAAGTGGGAAGCGGGGAGGGGCACGAGGGACGGGAAGCGAATAGAAAGGGGGAATGGAGAGGGGAGAGAGGGGGAGGAGGGAGGGGGGGAGGAGGGGGGGAGAGGGGGATGGAGGAAAGAGAGGGGGAGGTGAAGGAAGTGGGGGACGGGGAAGGCGATGGGGCGGGAGGGGACGGAAGGGGGGGAGGGAAGGGGGTGTGGAAAAGGGAGGAGGAGGGGAGGCATAGAAGGTTAGGGGAGTCGATGAAATGGAAAAAAAAGTTGCATGCAGAGGAAGTGGGTCATCAAGTTGTTGTGGCGACAACGAAGGCGAGAGAGACAATGAGAGCGAGGGCAAAGGTAGAGATGCGAAGGAGGGGAAGGGGAGGGGGGGGGGGGGGCGCAAGCAAGCGGAGGCGGGTGAGAGACGAGGGGGGAGGAGCGCACCTTGCGCGTAGACGCTGTCCTTGCCCTTCTTGTACTGCGTGACCTTGTGCGTGGTGTGCTTCTTGCACTTGCCGCCGCAGTACGTCTTCTTCGTCTTCGGCACGTTCACCTGCCGCGCGTGCGCACCCACACGCGTGCCGAGAGGCCCGCGGGCGACATGGGGGACGGGATGAGGCCGGGCCAGCAACAGGAATTCGGAGGGAGAAGGGCGGGGTGAGGGATGGCTGGGGTTGAAAACGGAAGGTGGAGGTGGCGGAAACACACGCTGGAATCAACACTCAGTGCTGGAAGGGGTTGGAGGGACGCGCGTGGGACTATGAGAAGGAAAACAGTGCGCAGCACGAGTGACGACGCCTAGACTGCATTAACCAGAGCTAGTCGTGACGCGACGGCCAGGAAGCAGGCTGCCGCGGCTGTCTCGTTCCAACAACTAGCACTATTGCGACCCAACTACATGACGCGCGTAAACGGCCTTATAAACTCGAACGAGAGGGAGTGGTCGAGCCTAAGCAGCTGCTCGTGCTTCCCCGTGCGACGAGGTCGCCACGATACACAGAGCTGCAAGTTGAATTCAGAGGACGGCGACTTTCTCCTCGCCTGCACCTAGCGGAACTAGGACGTGAATCGGACCATCTGACAGCACCCGGCTCAGGAATCCTTGAAAGGCTGGAGCAGCTGAAACGTGCCATACGCAGCTACGCGTGAGATCCAAGACATGGGGACGACCCATCAACTAGCTAAACGAATCCCGTGTTGCTTGCGACGCGTATGAGAGCATTCTTCATTGAACACGATTGCCTTGAGAGCGGACTAGGTACGCCATAAGCATCATCCAGACTCACCATGGCTGCTCAGTTGAGATGAACGAGGGGATGAGTGTAACGGAGCCAAGCAGAAAGGTGATGGTGAGGGAAAGCAGCAGATATGCAGTACAGGGCTGGGAGTGGCAGCGATTAGGGTTGGTGGAGAGGAATTTGTGGGGTGGGTAACCAGAGCGTTGTTGGGGAAGGAAAGGGAAGTGCCAACTGTCGCGCCTGAAGAAAATTGGATGAGGAAGAGATGGGAGAATCCGTGTGGTAAACCACCAAGCGCGGTGAAGTGGAATTGAGCAAAAACCTCCTTACTGTTGACCTGTTACGGGTGCAATGAATCGATGTAGAGAGGATTGCACTAGAGTGTTCAACGAGTACAAAGTATGAGGGAAGGCATGAGCGAATACTTATGTACGAAAACATGCAACGGTTACGCGGTGCATGCGAGCTAGCTAGTGCTACGCTGGCATGGAGGTTCAGGCTAGTCCCGATGCATAGGCCGACTCGGCTGGGCCAGCGATGCAAGGTTTGGTGAAACAGTGCGCGCGAAGTTGGCGAAGCCCCGTTAGCAGTAACGGGCGAACAACTGCTGCTGCTGTACGCGATGTTGATGGTGGCGACAAGGAATGTCGAGAAAATTCCTTACACTACCCCCCCCCCCCCCCTCAAGAAGCCCCCTCCGCTACGCGAATGCGTGTATATCGCGGAAACCTCGGCTCCTCATGTACACTTGCAGGGCAGGTTGGTTTTCAATGTTGGCCAGGGGCACCCAGCTATCCTCAGTTGGCATGCGGTCCTTCCAGCGAACGAGGTGATAGATTTTAAACTGTCTGAATAGGATCGTAGTCTTAGGATAGTAGCTTCCTGTAGCAGTGGAAGTCTTTATATGAGTGACTTGTAACAGGATCAAAAGTCTCTGAAATCAAGTATATTATAAAATGACAAGCATACAGAATATATACTAGGATAAAGTACCTGTTCGCCTACTGTACTGTGCTGTTCTTATCTTGAAACGGTACGTAACTATTCGCGAAACCTACGGCTACTGATGACGTCATCCTAGGGCGTGTAGCGCTTTGCTGACGTCAGCCTATCGGTACTTTTACTGTTCTAACTACACGAATTCCTTGAAGTGCATAAGTCTCGATATTATCTCAACACTCCCCTTCACTTCTAGGAGTTCAGTGTAGTCACCCTGTTGACTCGAAAATGCCACTGAGCTGGTTGCAGTGATGAAATTTCTGACGTGTCAGCTTCTTAGTAAGCGAATCAGCGGCCATGTCGCTGGTGGGGCAGTAGACAAGGCGCATTCTCCCCTTGTCGATCGCGTCTTTTACGAAGAAGTAACGCAGCGAAATATGCTTCGTGCGATTGACGAAACCAGGCTTGTTGGCGATGGTAATTGCACTCTGGTTGTCGCACTGCAACGTGAACTGATTCGGCGTGACGAATTTTGCTTCGTCAAGCAATTCCTGCAGGTATAGACCTTCGCGAGTTGCAGCACAAGCAGCGATGAATTCTGCTTCAGCCGATGAAAGTGACACTAGTTCCTGTTTCGAGGAATTCCAGGAAATCGGACCAATCGGCTCGAGACGAAAAATATAACCCGTGCGTGACCGTCGATCTGACGTGTCGCCAGCGTGGTCCGCGTCAACGTACCCACTGAGGTACATTTTGTCGGTCGGCTTCCTAGCATTGAAAATTAATCCGAGTGTTGGTGTAGAGACGAAGTAGCGTAGCGCACGCTGTAAGTCGAGAGAGTGTTCTTCTTTCGGGCAGCGTAAAAACTGCGCAAGGTGACTTGCGACGTAGGCAAGATCAGGGCGACAGGTGACTGCTGCGAAAAGAAGACATCCCAGCTGCTGCTGATATAGTTGAAGACCAGCTGCTGACAAATTTTTCAGATTGGGAACGTGCCCGGTGAGTGTAGACCGATAAGGTGTAGCAACGAAATCCGTGGGAATGTTGAAACGCTTAGCGAGTGACTCCGCATATTTCGAAGCCGTGAGATGAATAGCGGAAGAAGTTCGCGAAACGTTTAACCCCAGAAATTGAGTTACTTTAGTGGAAATGGTTAAGTCAAGTGACTTCTTCAAATCGGCTTCGATACGATCTCCCAGCGAAGTCGACGAACTGACGTAGAGAATGTCGCCCACGTAAGCTACTAACAACGCATAGCCCCCCTTGTCGTCTAGCCGGTACATCCCGGGATCGTGCGGCAGTTGTCGAAACCCAATCTCCGTCAGCTTCTTGTTCAAATGCTGCTGCCACAGTCGCGGTGCTTGTTTGATTCCGTACAGTGATTTTTTGAGCTTACAGACACTTGGCGGATTTGTCGGATAGGTGTGCGGATATTCGACGTAGATTTCGGCATCGACGTCGGCGTACAGAAAAGCGTTGGAAACATCGATTTGTCGAAGTGGAAAATTCTTCGCGGCTGCTTCGCAAAGAACGAGTCGAACACTCGTATGTCGACTGACCGGGGCGAAAGTAATGTCAGAATGTTATAATTGTCTAGCCTGCAGTGGGGTACTCCATAGTGAGTACAGCCCAATTAGGGTTTGCTATATGTATCCAACTGCTTGCTAGTGAACCTCCTCTTTCTTCATTCTTACTTTCTACTGCTAGTTCTGACATGCTATCAGAGCAGGTCGATCCCCTTGGGTCGATCCTGTGGGTGGGCCCAACACCTCACTGCTTCCGCTGCTACTGCTACTCTGTGTGTTGCACGCCCCGTGGCGTGCGACGGATTTTTCATCCCGCCGCGCGCTCGGAGCGTGCGGCGGTTTTCTGCCCGCCGTGCGCCCCGAGGCGCGCGGCGGTTTTCTGCCCGCCGTGCGCCCCGAGGCGCGCGGCGGCTTTCTGCCCCGTCACTCCGCGCGTCGCTCCCGGGAGGCGCTGCGACGGGCGACGGGGACCCGCGCGTCGCCCCCCGTCGCCCGTCGCGGCCTGCGCGACCTGCGTAGGGCCCGCGCGCGGCCCGTACAGCCTGCGCGCGGCCCGTACGGGCAGCGCCAGGCCCGCGCGCGGCCTGTACGGGCTGCGCCAGGCCCGCGCGCGGCCCGTACGGGCAGCGCCAGGCCCGCGCGCGGCCCGTACGGGCTGCGCCAGGCCAGGGCGCGCCTCGGGCCGCCCGCCCGCGGCTCGTACGGGCTGCGCCAGGCCCGTGGGCGCCCTGTTTCCTCTTCCCCTGCGCTGCCCGCTGTCCCCCGTGCTTCTGACGGCGCCCCACCCCTGCTGCTGCCCGTTCTCCTGAATTAGGGTTTGGGGTGGGGGGTATGGGGGTGCAGTTTCTGTGTGCCGTCCCCTGCTCCTCCTCCTCCTCCGTCTCCCAGTGCTGCAGCTGCCGCTGAGGGGGGTGGATCTGTTGGAGCCGTCGGAGTGGTACTAAGGGGTGAAGGGGGAGTGGAGCTAGGGGTGAAGCAGGGGGTGTGTGTGAGAGGGGTGTGGGACGGTCGGGGGAGGTTGAGTGGAGGCTGCTGTCTTGTCGTCCGCAGCACCTGTAGTCCGGGGCGCACTGTCCTGGTAGCCCAGAGAGTCTGCTGCGCCTGTCGCCCGTGGGTCCGTTGCTCCTGTAGCTCCTCGTAGCCCGTGAGCCAGTTACTCCAGTAGTCCGGGGCGCTGTCTCGGTAGCCACTGTGCCAGCAGCTCCTGTTGCCCGTGTGTCTGCAACTTCAGCCGTCGTCTCCCATCTTCTATCCTCGCACAGTCCCTCCTCCTCCTCACTTGCCCGCTGTGATTACCTCTAGCTTTG